TAAGGTTAGCACTGGTCTGACTTGGAATACAAACTTGCTCTGTGCATAATGCTCCCTGGTGCCTTGAATGATGCAACGGCAATGTCCTAGGCACCAGAGCCCTGGGAAGTGTACTTTGGGGGTGCTCTGGGAATTGTATGTACCATGACTCCTTATATCTGAGACACTGTTGTGAACATGTACAGCACCAGCCTAAGCACATGGAGTTCTAGGACGTAACAGTTCCCAAAGTTCCTGCTGTAAAAATTGAAAATGCTACATTTCCCAGAGTTCCTGGCTCTCAGAATGCTTTTGGGTGAGGGGGGAACAGAGGCATTTTGGCATATCCCAGGAATAAAGAACCTCAGGCCTGGGGCCCACATGCAGCCCTATAGGTTTCTCTATCTGGCGATTAAACATGCCTCACTTAACCTGCTTTACACCTTCCTTGAGTGTTTTTGCCCGTCTGGAATGTGTTCTTTAACTCACATAATGCCTCTAGCTCAGGGGGATGAGGATAGAAAGGGCTGTATGAGTATACAGTGGTAACTTGGGTTACATATGCTTCAGGTTACATACGCTTCAGGTTACAGACTCCGCCAACCCAGAAATATTACCTCGGGTTAAAAACTTTGCTTCAGGATGAAAACAGAAATCGTGCGGTGGCGTTGCAGTGGCAGCAGAAGGCCCCATTAGCTAAAGTGGTGTTTCAGGTTAAGAACAGTTTCAGGTTGAGAACGGACCTCCAGAACGAATTAAGTTCTTAACACGAGGTACCACTGTACATAGAAACTAGTCTGCTATACACTTGCATCCACTCATTTTTGCCTTTGGCACCCACTCACCACTGGCATGCACATTTTGGATAGCTGCCCAGAAGAAAATGAAGCCCTCTGGCTAAAACAGGTTCCCTTCCCCTGTTTATCCCACTGATTTGCATTGTGAAATTAGGATCTTAGATTGACAAGTATGTTTATTCCCAGGCCATGTTACCTTTGCATACAGACCCTCATAAATACATCCTGTTCAATTCTGCCACCACAGTCATCTTCATTATTTTTTTAAAGATCCATCCCAAAATCCACCTTTAAATATGGATTTTTCATGTGTTTTCTTTCAAAAGATGCATTATAAAATGTGCTGTTTTTTTAGCAGCACATTTTTTAGCAGCACTACAACACTGAGAGGGAAATATGAAATCATTGCAATACACACACTAGTCTAAGAGCTATGGATTGGTTTCAGTTTACATTTGGAATTTGAAAAGATCAAATTCCTCAAGCATCCCTAATTATGGCTAGGAAGATCTCTGGAGGGGAAAGCCTGGAGCCCAGGCTAGCTTATGAATTCCTTGTCCTCTCCTCTATGCATCTCCACCCAACAGCTCCTGTTCATTCTCAAGGTGTTCTGTCCTAATGAAAACAAGGTCACGCTTGCTCAGCAGCTGATGGACAAGAAAGGAACAGGTGGAGAAGCTGTGCAGTCGTGTAGGTTTTTATTCTGACATCCTTAATGGAATACAGATTTCAGCATTGCTGAAAGAGCTTATGCTTGAATAGCGAGAGAAGAATTATCCCATTGTCAGACACGGCTCAGGAATCATCAGGCGCGTAGTGCAAATATTTTGTTCTCAATGGAATGCAGGGGGGAAAACAAGGAAATGTTGAAGATTGAAGATTGAAAACACGGCACCTTCTCTCCATACATGAGAGATAAAGTGACCGCATCTGATAAGTAACTGCATCTGAAAAGAGCACTTGGATTCACAGACTAGTCTGGCCCATGATGGCTATACTTGACACACAAATACACCCACCCAAAATTACTGCAGTTTGAGTAGGATGAAAAATTAATATTTTAGTCATGAACCTCTGGATTATTCTTATTCCAGATATTTCTTATGCAGGGGAACCTTATCCAGTCAAGCGACCACATTCCCTTGTGGGGCTGCACACCAGTGTCAGGTGTGGCCACACACACACATCTCCATCCATGCAAACAAGAGGCATTATTACAGTTCAAGGGCACATTCCAGCTAGGTGAACTTACTAGTAGAGGGTATGGAGCAGAGCCAGTGAGGTGGGTAGCCTGATTAGAGTTCCAAGGGCCATATATAGAGGCCTGTAGGTCGACATTCAGTTCCTGGATCCTAGTTGCCTATTTCTGATTTAAGATATGGTGAGTTCACGCTGTGATGCATTACACTCACCTTGAAGAGGGTATGTCATGGCTAAAATGGCCACTGTTTCTTTAATGCTTAAAAAACCTGGGTCAGCATGAGTCAGCGGCCTGCACCGGGTTGTATATATAGAGTGAGAAATGTTATTTTGTGGTTGGGCTGGGTTGGGTTGGTTGGTTGGTTAGTGAAAGCTGGTAGTGTTGTTGTGTGTATAGTTGGTCAGTCACTTTTGCAGAAAGACTTTTAAGAATAAAACTCTGCAAGGATACTTTTCTCGTGGACTCTTTTATGCTGACAAGGGTCTGAGGACTAGGCTGAGGCGACAAAGGGAGGTCAGAACCCTTTCATTTTTCCTTTTTTACAAACACTGACACAGTTCAAGGGCACATTCCAGCTAGGTGAACTTACTAGCAGAGGGTATGGAGCAGAGGCAGTGAGGTGGGTAGCCTGATAGAGCCAGTGAGGTGGGTAGCCTGATTAGAGTTCCAAGGGCCATATATAGAGGCCTGTAGGTCTACATTCAGTTCCTGGATCCTAGTTACCTATTTCTGATTTAGTATGTGGTGAGTTCACTCTGTGATGCATTACACTCACCTTGAAGACCAGACTAACTAGAACCCTATTTGGCTGTTCAAATCCCTCACATGATGAGGGAAGTCGATCACAAGCATTCTACTTCTACCCCTGAAGTGGGAAGCCCTTCTTTTTCCAAATAATTTTTATTTATTTTTTATTCGTTTTCCAAATTATTACAGATCAGACCAAATTACTTTAATACAATTTCTTTTAAAAAATAATAATCAGGTTTCCTGCTCCTGTTGCAAACATATGTCCATCACTTCCTCCTGTAGCTGCTTCATCTCTTCTTTAATATCCACTTGATCCTTCACTTGATGTTAGTCGATTCTCGCAGCTGACTATTATTCTGTCCTTACATAGCTCTGTCAATTCTTATAAATATAAAATCCATTTATTCTGTGAACCACCCTGAGACCCCTGGGTATAAATTTGATTATTAATAATAATAATTTCATGTTTGTAGTCCTTCATAAACGTTGTTTTCAGATCTGGTGTATTGAGAGAGTTAATTGCTATCTTCTTTTGTTTAGTTCCCTGCAGTGCTTGCAAGGTCAATTCACATTCCATTCCTTCTGCTGTTCACCAGCTTGTGTACAGGATACAGCTATAAATAACTCCCAGATAACGTGCCCAATCTCTGCCATTAAAATTCCACTCTGGAGTTCTTCCTCGGCACACAGCTAAAGACAATGTCTTTTTCTCAAATACAGCCTCTTGCCAGATTTAATTAGCAGCCGTTCATCTTACTCTGCATTGCTCCCTCACACTTCTGGTCCAGTCCAAAGATAGTTTTAAATAAAGTCCATCCAACCTCAGTCGAGGGGGGAGGGCATAATAAAACCTTGTTAAATTCCTTGTTGAGCATAAATCAAAAGCCTCCCCACTCTTTTTCTCAGTACCACACAGAATAACATAGCCATGGCTACACATGTCTCTTTCATTTTGCAGGAGAGGACAAGGGTGGGAAAAGACCATTTGGAAACCATATGAAAGCACAAAGCACCTTGTCCTCCCCCTTACTTCCTGGCTGTTGTAAGGATTTTCAAGCTTCAGAAAATCATTCAAATACCTTCAAAGAGCCAAACCCAGTCCTTTTGGCAACTGATTGATTGCAGACTGTTATCATACGTCGTTTCAGGAGCGCCTCATGATTAACACCAACATTAGTGAGGAACCGATCACAAATCATGCCAGTGAGGGAGGTTCATCCATTGCAGGGACACATTCCCAGGTCACACCTGCTCTGCCTTTCAAATTGACAGACATGGGCTTAAGCAGCACAGTGGGATGCAGTGAACTCCCCCAGAACCTACTGGGGAGCATTGTGAGGAATTTTACCTCATAAATCCTAGCTTTCCCCTGCCTGAACTTAGCACCATGAATCATGATGTCAGCAGAGAACCACTTTTCCAAATAATTCCCCCCCCCTGAATTTTTTTATTTCCAAATTTTCCAAATTTATAAACAAACAAACACACATAAATCCAAAATGTAATTATTCCACTATTATTAACACTGTTAGGTGACTTCCTCAAATCCCCCTGGCTGAGTTTCAATGTATATCATTGTAACAGTTTTCCAAAACTAATTTCTCAAAAAAATTACTTAGTCAATTAACTTCTTTCTTTCTTTTCATATAAACTTTAAACATATTATTATATAGAATCACATATTTAAGTCCTAAGTCAATCTGGTATTTGCAAATATTTCTATTTAAATTATCTTAGCATATTTAGCTAAATATTTTAAATTTCATCCATTCTTCCTGGTACTCCTCCTCCTTTTGGTTGCAGACTCTTCCAGTCAGGTCGGCTAGCTCCCAAAAGTCCATCATCTTCATCTGCCATTCCTCTGCTGTTGGCACTTCTTGTGTTTTCCAATTCTTGGCTAACAAAATCCTAGCAGCAGTTGTGGTATACGAAAACAATCTAACATCTTGGGCAATTCCAGACCTATTATTCCAAGAAGGAAGGCCTCTGGGCAATTCCAGACCTATTATTCCAAGAAGGAAGGCCTCTGGTTTCTTAATAAATGTATATTTCAACATTTTTTCCCAATTCATTATAAATCTTATCCCAGAAGTTTTTCACCTTGGCGCAGCTCCACCACATATGATAAAAGGTACCTTCTTTTTCTTTACATTTCCAACATAGATTATCACTATTGTGATAAATCTCTGCTAATTTTACAGGAGTTAAGAACCATCTATACATTATTTTCATAATATTTTCCTTTAACACTGAACATGCAGTGAACTTAACCCCTTTCCTCCACAACCTTTCCCAGTCTTCAAACATTATGTTATCCCTTTTCCAAATAATTTTTATTGGTTTTCATGTAAATACAAGAACAAGATATAACTACTGTAGCTTGTCCAGTGGTGCATTAAGTTTCATATGCAGTACACAGTACACAAGAAATATGTTTATTTATGCATTATCAATTCAAGTATCCTCTCCACAGAGATTATTATGTTGTGGATGGAATAAAAGTATATTCTGTCACATTTATAAAGGAAAAGAATGGAAGCCAAATCTTGCCAAAAGTGTCTATTCTTGAAGTGCCTTTAACTACCCTTCTGTGACAAGTAAGGCGTTCTGATAGAGCCACACTCCAAATATTATTTACCCAGATTTCAGTAGGGATTACTATAGTTTGTTTCCAGTATCGGGCTATTGTTGATCGGGCTGCTGTTAATAATAAAAAATACCAAATCTCTGCATTTAAGGTTACTGATTAAATTTGAGTCTAATGATAACAAGGCAAGAGCCAAATTGGGTGAAAGAAATTGCTGCATAATTTTGGAAATAATGTGAAACACCTTTTCCAAAAGTATATCATTGTGCAACTCTACCATGCATGAAAATATGAGTCTAACTCCCTGTAGCCTTTCTAGCATAGGGGAGAGATGCTAGTGTTTATGTTGGCTAGACATGATGCAGTGTAGTGCCAGTGAAATATAATTTTAAGAGAAGTCTCCTGCCAATGAGCAGAGATGGTTCATAGGGATGGGTTGTGCCAAATTGATTGCCATTTATTATCTGCAGTTATGATCCCTTAGTCTTTTCCCCATACTGTATGGAGGCCTCCTGTATCACCTGCATATTGTTCTAAAAGAATGCTATAAATAAGGCATGTCCAACGTGTCGATAGCAATTGACTTGGGGATCACTGACTGATTTTCGTCGATCGCAGGCTGAGAAAGAAAAGCCTTTCTCTGCAGCCTGGGACGCAGCCAGTCCAGTTTCATGCAAGTCTGAGCTCCTCCTCCTCTTCCTCCAGCCGAGGAAGCTGACTTGCCTTCCTTCCCCGACACCTGCTCTGCACTGCACTCTGTGTGTGTGTGTGGGGGGGAGGTTAGAGCACCAGCGGTGGGGTGAGGGGGACGTGGTGCCCTAAGGCAGGGCTGGGATGTGTGTGGGGGGGTGTTCCCTAAGGGTACTGACTTGGGGCTGGGGGCAATAACATGATTGGACTTGAAACCAAAAGCTCCAGAAGCAGAAAGACTGAGGTGGAGGGAGAGAGGGAGGATGCTGTGTGTGTGTGTGTGTGTGTGTGTGTGTGTGAGAGAGAGAGAGAGAGAGAGAGAGAGAGAAGCTGACTCCTCAGATCTGTGCAAACATATAAAAATATAGTTTGACTTTTCTCACTTGTTTAGTTACTTAATGCCTTCGGAGAGTGGTAGATCACTGCCAGTTTTTGATACTTGTTGGTAGATCGCAGCTTATTTGAGGTTGGACGTGCCTGCAATAAAGGAAAGATGCAGCTCATTTTATTTCATATCTTGATTTGTTACAGAGAGACTCAAATGACATAAGAGAATGAAGCCCCTCCCCCTTGCGTTCCAAGTATCTTGCTAATGTGAACAATTGAATAGATTGAAACCAGGTTAACTAGGCATCATCCAGTTTCTCCGTGAGCTCATGCTTAGAAATTGCTTTGCCTCTAGACAGAAGCTCTCTTACCTAATTGATGCCTTTCTCCTCAATTTTTAAAATTTGTCCATATTTATCCTCCTGTCGGAATAATAGAGGGTTCAACAGTGGAGTCAATGGTGAGGGTTTGGGAACCAGAACTCAGTCTCAATAGCTCCACGTCATAAGCACTGCCTTTAAAAAAGCATTTTGAATCTTTCCCCACTCAGCCTGGGATAGTTTTAGGAAAGGAAATGACCTTACAGACGGTGAAGAGAGAGGGGCCTTGACCTGCACCCATGGAATGTCATATTGTCCCCTAATCAAGGGAATCAGAGATTTAATCTGAAATGCTGCAGAATAAGAGTCCTAAATTTGGCATTCTGAGACCTCCCTTAGATCTATGCCTAAATAAACTAGATCTTTTCCCAGATGAAACAAATAGAATTAGCTTTCGTTGTGATTCTTTAAGCAGAGGTGAGGGAATATGGATGGGCAAAACCTCAAAAGAATATGAAATATTTGGAAGAATAGATATTTTAATCACAGCTATCTTGCCAAGCCAACTGAGATTTAAATGTTTCCATTTCACCAATTCTTGGGAAATATCTTTGAACAGGTTTTTTATAGTTTCTGCGACTAAGCTGCTTAAGATCTGGTGTTAAATTGATGCCAATATATCTAAACCCACCATGAGCGATGCTAAATTCTGGTTGTGTTATTAGTTACTCATGAATCATTGTGGGTAGGTTAATTGGAAGAACGGCAGATTTTGCATAATTTATCTCCAGTCCTGCAACTGCATGAAATGCATTCAATTGTTTTTTGAGTGGTTGGAGTGCATTAAGAGGGTCTCGGAGAATAACCAGAGTGTCATCAGCAAACCTATTTATTTTCTGCTCAATATTTCTAATTCTCACACCTTCAAGTGTTTCATCTACCCACAATTGAATGGCAAGCACCTCTATCACACTGCAAAAAGCAGTGGCAACAGCAGGCAGCCTTGACGGGTGCCCCTATTGAGGTGTATGGGTTTGGTGATATACCCATTTAATGTAATGATGGCATTAGACTGTGAGTAAATTTGATTAATGATATGAAGGAATTGCTTACCAAATTGTAATTTAGCTATTAAAGATTTTTAAAATGGCCACAGAATTCTGTCAAAGGCCTTGAAGGCATCCAGAGAAATTAAAGCACCAGGGGAGTTTTGTGTGTGGAACTCATGATTTACATTAAGAATTTGTCTCACTGAATCCAAAATATTTTCATGAAACCTGTTTGGTCAGTTGAAATATATTGTCCAACAAAAATATTGATCCTTTTGACCATTACTGCCATGAAAAGTTTTGCATCAACATTAATAAGAGCAATAGGTTGATACGAGTCCACTTTTGTGGCATCTTTCCCTGGTTTCAGAAATAAGGTCAGTTTTAAAGTTCACCAAGTTTTGGGAATTTCCCCTTCTTCTAAAATTGAATTAAATAGACTAGTTAACCAGGGTGAGAGTTCCATTCTGAATACCTTATAGCAGTGGTTCCCCATTAGGGGTCCAGGGACCCCTAGGGAATCCGCAGAATCTACCCAGGGGGTCTGTGGCTCCATCCCTTGGTTCCCCCCAATTAAAATTTTGTCATTTTTGCATGGTAATATCACAAATGTTATTGTCTGGTTTGTTTGTTTTTTTGGTATATCTAAAATCCTTTGCTTATTAGGTGCCACCTCACATTCTGTTCAAAAAACTGCTATGCAGAGGTAACTACCAGAGTTATCAAAAATTTCAAAAGTAGGGGGTCCATGGCTTCGCTTTTGAGAAATGGGGAGGGGGGCCTCAGTGATTAGCTAATTGGGAGCTATTGCCTTATAGTATTTTCCTGAGAAGCCATCTGGCCCTGGTGATTTGCCCAATTTTAGTCTTTTTATTGCATCCTATACATTCTCTTACCGGGATGCGGGTGGCGCTGTGGACCGGGACGCGGGTGGCGCTGTGGGTGAAACCTCAGCGCCTAGGACTTGCCCTAGGACTTGCTCAGGTCGGCGGTTCGAATCCCCGCGGCGGGGTGCGCTCCCACTGCTCGGTCCCAGCGCCTGCCAACCTAGCAGTTCGAAAGCACCCCCGGGTGCAAGTAGATAAATAGGGACCGCTTACTAGCGGGAAGGTAAACGGCGTTCCGTGTGCTGCGCTGGCTCGCCAGATGCAGCTTGTCACACTGGCCACGTGACCTGGAAGTGTCTGCGGACAGCGCTGGCCCCCGGCCTCTTAAGTGAGATGGGCGCACAACCCTAGAGTCGGACACGACTGGCCCGTACGGGCAGGGGTACCTTTACCTTTATACATTCTCTTGGGATATTCGTTGATTCAGATGATCCCTGTGCTCCTCAGACAATGGTTTAAGGCACACTTGAGAGAGTGTTTAGTGGTTAAGAGCGGTGGACTCGTAATCTGGTGAACCAGGTTCGCTTCCCCGCTCCTCCACATGCAGCTGCTGGGTGACCTTGGGCTAGTCACACTTCTCTGAAGTCTCTCAGCCCCACTCACCTCACAGAGTGTTTGTTGTGGGGAAGGAAGATAAAGGAGATTGTTAGCCGCTTTGAGACTCCTTAAGGGGAGTGAAAGGTGGGATATCAAGTCCAAACTCTTCTTCTTGTATAGAGGATGGTGAAGGATTGTCAGAGAAGTATAATATTTTCAGAAGATTTCATCAATTATCGAAGTATCATTGCATAATCGTCAGTGGGCATCATGCATGACAGTAATCTGATTTTTTAATTTACACTTTTTGACAGCATGAGCTAATAGATGACAAATTTTGTTACCAAATTCATAATAAACACTCCTGACTCTTGCCATTGCTTTATGTATGCGTTCAGACTCAATGGGTTGTAATTCAGAGCAAGTTTTTTTTCAGAGCCTGACTTAATTTTTTTTGGATTTTGAAGTCTGTGACTCCTTTTCCAATATTTTAATCCTAGCAGTAAGAGCACTGATTTCAGATTCATATACCTTTTTCCTTCTTGAGGCTTCACTAATGCAGTGCCCCTTTAAGACTGAAGGAGTGAGGACCAGGGGTCCACCTGGGTCCACTTTGGAGAGCCAGGCTGGAGCCATTTTATAAGCTGAAAGCCATCTTAGAGAGCAAACTAAAAGCTAAAAAAGACATTTCTCTCTCTCCCCTGCTTGCCCCTGCTTGCAAAACAATATTTTTGCAACACAGCGAGTTTGCAGGAGGATGCGGTCAGGGGATTTTGGAGCTGTTCTGAGAAACTGTTCGTTTGCCCAGGATGTCTAGCCCACCACAAGGTTCTAAGCCGAGCAACCTGTTGGAACCACAAACACAGGTGGGGGGCCAGAGCATTTACTGGAACCAGTAAATGGGTCAGAAAGATTTTAAACTCGCAGCGCCACCTAGTGTATAATGCAGTTTGGAACCGGAAGGCCAACATCAATTCTTTAATTGGTTGAGCTTCAATGAATATGCATAAAGGGGAATGTTTGAGGGCTGGGTCAAGGGTTGAACCATTGTTTTGCCTGAGGGGATAAAAACTGTTTGCCCCTGGTGTTCGTGGGCATTCTCTCATTTCGTCCTGAATGCACCCCTTTTTGCTTTTTGTCTGACAAAAACCAAATTGAATAAAACTTTTGTTTTATAGAAATATTGCTGCCTGGATTTTTCCATTCTGGTCTGTATTCTGAAGTCTCTAACAAGACTACCGTATTTTTCGCCCTATAGGACGCACCGGCCCATAGGACGCACCTAGTTTTTTTTTGGGGGGGGGGAAATCAAAGGGAAAATATTTATTTCCCCCCCCCCCAGGTTTGCGCAGCCATCCCCAAGCTAGAAGAGGGAGACGGAGCGCTCTGTCTCCCTCTTCTGCCTTCAGGGACAGAATCCCTATCCTCTGTGGGGCAGCGCACTCCGCTGCCCTGCAGAGGCTTTGCGCAGCCATCCCCAAGCTAGAAGAGGGAGACAGAGCGCTCCGTCTCCCTCTTCTGCCTTCAGGGACAGCCTCTCTAGCCTCCGTGGGGCAGCGGCTTGCCCCGCTGTCCCCCGAGCTTGTGGGGCTGGCGATGGGGGGAGAAGCAAGCTTGCTTCTCCCCCCCCCCAGCCTCCAGAGAAGGTCCGGGAATAGCGGGGTGGCGGCGCTCTGCCTCCCCGCTATCCCCCGAGCTTGTGGGGCTGGCGGGTGGGGGGGGGAAGCAAGCTTGCTTCTCCCCCCCCCAGCCTCCAGAGAAGGTCTGGGAATAGCGGGGTGGCGGCGCTCTGCCTCCCCGCTATCCCCCGAGCTTGTGGGGCTGGTGATGGGGGGAGAAGCAAGCTTGCTTCTCCCCGCCCCCCGCCAGCCTCCAGATCAGGTCGGGGAATAGCAGGGTGGCGGCGCTCTGCCTCCCCGCTATCCCCCGAGCTTGTGGGGCTGGCGGGTGGGGGGGGAAGCAAGCTTGCTTCCCCCCCCCGCCAGCCTCCAGAGAAGGTCCGGGAATAGCGGGGTGGCAGCGCTGCACCTCCCCGCTGGCCCCCGAGCTTGTGGGCTGCAGGCTGCTGCCCGCAAGCCTTGCGAGCCCGCGGGAACTCCCACCGGGCTTGCAAGGCTTGCAGATAGCTTCCTGAAGCCTGGAGAGCTAGAGGGGTCGGTGCGCACCGACCCCTCTCACTCTCCAGGCTTCAGCGAAGCCTGCATTCGCCCCATAGGACGCACACACATTTCCCCTTCATTTTTGTAGGGGGAAAAGTGCGTCCTATAGGGCGAAAAATGCGGTATTTTTCTCGTGTCCCACAGTACAGTAGTGGTAAATTATTTTCCTTAAAATAATATTGTAGTGCTTTTAATAAACGGTCTTTAGATACCTTATCAGTGATTAAGCTTGCATCAAAATACCATTTTGGGGACCTTGGAGGGTGTATATCAAAACTAAAAAAAAATGAGACAGGACCATGTTCCGGCAGAATTAAGACACCAATATTAGCTCTTATCACACTTTGCATAATATCTTGAGTTACTAATAGGAGATGAATCCTCAACCATGTTTTGAATCGGTGAGAGAAACATGTGAATTCACGTGCTGTAGGATTTAAGTGTCTGCTAGGCCCCAGTGGCCAATCATGCTCTGCAATCTGTTGTCCTGACTGCTTCTTGAAGAACCGAAAGAGCTTCAATCTATGGAGTCATTAGGGCAGCAGTTAAAGTCCCCTCCAATTATAATTGAGCCTTCTTTGCAAAGTGTTCTTAAGAAAAGCCTGTTGGTCAGAATTTGGTGCTTATGTGTAGGCCAGAGTAAGATTCATAGTACCAAGTGAGCCTCTAACAAAAATAAATCCGCCATTTGGGTCTGCTATTGAGTCTCTCATCCAAAATGGGCAATACTTGGAGAAGGGGATAGCCATGCTCCCACTTTTGGAAGAGGCCATTTTGCTCACCGAGCCATTGACCCTTTAGTAATGGTGATTTGGAGCATTTACTTTGATGGGTTTCCTGCAACATAATTATGTCTGGGTGCTCTCTGTGTCAGTTCAACCTCTTTTTACTGCTGAGCCCAGGCCTTTAACAGTGAATGGGGGGATTTTTAGGGGGGGCAGGATAATTGTAATGTCTGTGCTGGGAGATCAGCAAACTGTTTTGCAACTGTGACAAAGCCTGGAACAGCCTTCCTGGCTTGCAAACTTGGGCCTTCATTGAGGCTTTTGTTAAACACTGGACTATCTGCTTGACTTCTGTCTTGAAAATCAAACAACCTAAACTGAAAACTATGTACAGTGGTACCTTGGTTTACAACCGCTTTGGATTACAACCGTTTTGGATTACAACTGTGTCAAACCCGGAAGTGTGTGTCCCTTTTTTTGGATTACATCCAATTTTGGTGGGAAGGCCCCATTGGCAAAAGTGCGCTTTGGGTTACAGCCTGTTTTGGTTTACAATCAGACCTCCAGAACGGATTATGGTTGTAAACCAAGGTACCACTGTACAAAAATCCTACGGTGGGCCAGCAGGAACATGGGAGTGTTGGAGATCCCTCCCATAGAACCCGGGATTGACTAGGGTGGCAGGAAGGGGTTGTGGCTCATCTCCATGTTCTCTCCTCCCACCCTCGGACAAAGGTTTTTCCAAGTTACTGTTTCGCTTGTTAGAGTTCAGATCCTTTTCACACATAAGGAAATAAAATGTAACCATTTCTTACTTTCTCTTTGGAGTTGCCTTATTTCTTTGTGCCTTTTTTGGTTGTCCAGCTCTTTCGTGCTTGAGCTGGGGAGACGCACTGGGGAGAGTCATTTGCTGCTTGGGGCATGTTGTCAGCCTGTTGGTTATCACTCACAACCCAGGTTCTGCCTTTGTGCTGGCCTATCAACTTAAAAGGGAAGCCTGAGTGATATGCTATGCCTGCTTCTTTTAGAGCTGGTCTGCTATAATCCTGAAGTCTCTGTGCTAAAGCCTTTTGGGCCACAGATGGATACAGCTTGCACTTGAATTCTTCTTGACCATATTCACTCTTTCTTGATCTGTATCCAGCACAAAGACTCCATTATTTTCAATACCTTGTGCATAAAAAAACTCCATCTTTGGCAATTACACATCTGTTATGATTAAAATTTACATTAAAAGCATGCTTGGTCAGAGTTGACACACTCAGCAAACTTTCTGTTAATTCTGGCAAGTAAACTACATTTCTCACTTCGTTATGAATAGTTTTTCTGCCTGCAATACACTTGAGCAAACCTGCTTCTTTTCCTTGCAGATATTTTGTGGCCATTTGCAATTGTAACCTGTCTCTGATGAGTTTTCATTTAAGTCTCTGAAAAAATCAGCATAACCAGACAAGTGCGCTGACGCTCCTGAATCAACTAACCAACTAGAAGAATTACTGTTAGTAGCATCAGTTTTTGCTAGATAGTTCTGATGAACTGCAAATGCATTTTTAGTTTGCTTTCAGCCACCTTGGAACTTTTCTTTATTTGTGCCAATGTGTTTTGTACAATACCTTGCAAAATGTCCTATTTTCCCACACAAAAAGCATCTAGTTTTGTCTCTTTTGTTTGCACCTTGAAAAACAGTTTTATTTTTAAAATTATACTTACCAGTCTTTTGTACAGCAAATACTTGTGTTTCACCCTTTGCTACCTTTTCTGCTCTCCTAGCAGCCTCCTCTTTAAGTCTTGGTACAACATTTTCATATCAAGTTTATCTTTAGTCTCTAGTCTAGTGCATGTATCAAAGAATTGTAACTTTCAGGCAGAATTAAAATCACTTTTTCCTCTTCTTCAAATTTCTTGCCTATAGTATTAAATGATCCATCAACTTTGTCACTTGACTTTGATGCTTTTCTAAATCTCCGTATTTTTTTCAGTTTAAAACTAAACAGCTTTCTTGATAAATACAGTCTCTCATTCAGAGTGTTCCTCTCATACAATTCTTTCAGACCTCGCCACAACACTTTGGCCGTCTTAAAATCGCTTATGTGGTGTAAGTCACTGTCACTCACATGAGTTGAAATTACTGTCTTTGCCTCTCTGTCCTGCTTTTCCCACTTTACTTTTTCTGCCTCTTCTGCTGATGCAGATTTTTCAATTGTTTCCCACAACTTCTTCACTAGCTCATTCTCCATTTGAAATTTCTATAAAGGATGGTTACAGGCACAGAAGGCTCTAGGGCTTTCACAGGTTTTATATACGTGGTCATTGTTTTTTCTCTCTTTTCAGACTGGGCCCATAACCCTATTGTTGTGGAGGGTGGGGTGATTAACAAAACCAATCCTCCTGGCAAACTGGGAATATCCCCTCACTCACACAGTTTAGGACATTCCATACCTTTCCTCAGCAGTGTTTCTTTTCTTTCAGCAAAGTAAGCATGTCAAACAAAGCTTTAATAATAAAGAAAATTGTAACACAATAACATACCATCTGAGAGAAACTAAAACGACTTAATGAGGCAAGAATGACAGTTGGTCTCTCTAACTGATCTTAACTGAACACCAGAAGGGAGGGGCTGATTCCAGAGAATAACACAAAGTCCCGCCCACCAGGTGCCAGATATTCTAATGCTCAAATTAGGCCCCAGTGTTTTTCTTGCAGTCACCTCCCCTTCCTGATTTTCTGGTAGGCCTCTTAGATGAATTATTTTCCTCCTGTCCCTGTCTGATTGTTCCTCCAACTTCATAGCAAAATCTTCTGTCATTTGTAAGAGCTGGATCTCAGACTGGTTAGTTAGAGCAAGATTGTGTGCATCATTTTATGTTTTAGAAATATCAGGCACATATCAAATTTCTGCTCAAGTGAAGTTGGGGCTGCTCTCCAGTCCAAGGCCAGTGCCTACCTTATTTTATTAATGTAATCATCTGACTCTCTGGCCTCTTCCATTACAGCAGCTGCTTTCTTGCCTTTTTGGGCCTTCATGAAGCCTCATACAGAGCTCCCTCTATTTCTTTCTAAAGCACTAACATTGCAGATTTCCTTTTTGGTCCCCATATTTCTTGAATCATCTCCATGCTGAGGCTGTATAAAACTTTTTGATTAGATGTCAGTAGGATCCACTCTGATTAGAATTTGTCCCAGGGCGATTGGAGATACAGAAATATGCCTCTATTTAGCTTTCCTGCTAGCCACCCCTTCCCCAGCTTTTTCTACACATGGAGGCTTCTCATACAGTTTAGATCCCCATCTTCTCAGGTTCTAAACCATGTAGGGAACCTGTACAATTGCAACAGGTTCCACCACCTTTATCAAGGGTGGGAAACTGGACTGAGCAGGTGGGCTAGCTCTAAAACTTTGCCACCCCCTGTGGACTGTGCAACAACATTATATGGCAATAAACAATTTACCCTGTGAAAAATTGGGAGCAAGTTCCTATTTTCTTCCACTCTGTCCTATTTTCTTCCACTCTTTCCTTGCAGGTGTGGCCTGCTTCAATTCAAGTTGCATTGAACAACCTTCCTTTGTAGGCTTAGCTCAGGTTCATTTCTGCATTTCTGATTGTTCTTGTTCAGTTTGGCCCCTTATTGTATTGCCTTCTTAGCTTTCTCCTGTCCAGGTTCCTTTTACTCCTGGGGTGGAGCAATAGCTCAGTTGTAGAGCATCTGCTTTGTGTAACGAAGGTTTCAGGTTAAATTTCCTATCTCCATATAGGGCTGGGAAAAGCTCCCATCTGGACCAAGGTTCAGGCAACCTCCTGTTTCTATGTTCATCCTCCGCTGGATCATCAATGCAAATGGGCTGTGCAAGCAAAGAGGACAGATCTGAGCACCAACGAGCTCACATTTCACCACTATGAATCTCTCCCACTGAAGTTGTCTCACCTTGAGTAGCAGCAACTTTCCATTTGCTTCACTGAATCATGTGCTACCTCATAATGTGGAAAGCAGCAAACATTAACAAGACACATGACAAGCTTGGTGAGTCAACCAAAGTGAGCGCATCTGTCAACAAGGGGCAGGTGGCCAGCTCTTTTCCTCAAGGGAAAGATGGCTGAATAAATAACACAGCAAAGGTAAAGCAGATCCCATCAAGCTCCCTTGCCAAATTCAATCAGGCCAGGTGAGCTCTGAACACACAGATCCAAAAATTAAAAGTTTACTGTGCCAAACATGCTACTTGAATACAAAATTCCCCCTTGTAAAGGGCAGGAGGGGAAGACATTATAACAAAGTATTTATAAACTACTTGAATAAAAGAATTGAGGGGATGCTCATCAAATTTGCAGATGGCACCAAACTGGAAAGGATAGCTAATGCCACAAAAGACAGAATCAAAATTCAAAATGATTGGATAACTGGGCCCAAGCTAACAAAATGAATTTCAATAGGGACAAATGTCAATTATCTAATTTCTGTGGTTAACAAATGTAGTTCTTCATGTCCATTTATTATATAAAGAATATTTCTAAGATGAGATGCACAATGATACCATTTAAGCTGGGATATCCCTCTGTCAATAGGGGTAAATAATACAATATCGTGTGGTTGTGATCAATTGATGAATAAATTATATAATAAGCTTTTGTCACCTAATAATGGTGTCTGGATAGGAATAGTTTGAAAAAGAAGCAAAATTTTCTGAAGTAACATTTTAACTGTTGAAATATTGCCCCATCAAGTCATATATAGCTTTTTCCAAATTCTCATGTTAGTTTTGAAGTCTGTGATTATTGGTTTATAATTTATTCCAGCTTTGAGACTTTTGTATGTATATATGTGTGTGTGTGTGTGAAATGAATTTGCATATTGCATAGTTTAAGAACTGAGAATTTGTGGAGACCATGTATTAATTCTGGAGGCGTTTGAATGCAAAACTATCCTGATTTACCATAATTCACTTTAAATCCAGATACCGAGTTAAATTGGGATTATTCTTGCATGATGGCCAGAATTAAAATTTGAGGATATGGTGTTATCATTGTATTGTCATCTGCAAAGAAGTTCAACATATAGCATTTACCACGAACTGTTATTTCCAAATTGGATGGATTCTGTTGGAGTGCTTAGGGCCATTGATTCCTTGACTACAACAAAAAGCAGAGGGGATGGAGGGTAATCTTGCTTTGTGCCCTGGCTGATAAGAAAAACCCCCAAAGTATCTTCAATTTACCTGTATGTTTGCATGGGTAGAATCATGCAGTCTTTTTATCAAATTGACAAAGGGGGAATCATACCCTGAATCTGGTCAATGCAGCAAACAAAAAAGGCTGGTTAAATCAATCAAAAGCTTTAGTGATGTCTACTTAGAATATTTCAGTAGAATTTGGTTGGGCATAGGCCATGAATAATATTTAGTATGTGCCTGATGGGAATAATGATATACATATCTATGGTGAATATATAATATATGGTCTTTATTAATGTAATTTGGTTCAATTCATGCCTGTCTGTCTGTTTTATCAGGATTTTTTGCATCCACATTTATCAATAAGATGGGTCAGTAAGAGTTGGTTAGTTACAGGTTTTTTAATGGCTTGTTGTTGTTGTTGTTTAGTCGTTTAGTTGTGTCCAACTCTTTGTGACCCCATGGACCAGAGCACGCCAGGCACTCCTGTCTTCCACTGCCTCCCGCAGTTTGGTCAAATTCATGCTGGCTTTTTTAATGGCTTAGGAAGTACTATAATATTTGTTGGTTTCCATGTGCTAGGGACTTCCCCTCTAGAAAAAGATACTTGTGAACAACTTAGAAAGAAGAGGTACCAATTGAGTTTGGAATGCTTTATAGAAAGCTCCCATAATTCTGTTCAAGCTGGGAGACTTAGATAGTTTCAGGTTTTTAATAGTTGTTTTATTGTTGTTGTTTTCGTTGTTACTATTTCTTCTAGCTTAGATGGTGGAGGATGCTTTGTGTGAATGGCAGCAGTATGAATTTTATCAAAGGAAGTGATTGAGCGATATACTTAATCCGTTCAGTGAACAGTCAGTGTGTTTCCAAATTCACTTGACTTGAGTCTGTATGCCCCAATAACATCAGGGTGAATTGCCTGTGCCCACAGCTGATGTGCTGCCTGGACCAGCTCTTCAGGCTCATAGAGTTCAACAGCAGCATTGAACAGCAGCATTGAACCAGTGACTTGAGGGGATGTGCCAGTGATGCTGCTGGCTAGACCATGACATGCAGGGAACAAGGGAGAAGCTGCGCCAGTCAGTGTCTGAGCATTCAGTCCTGAAAGTGAAGTTGAAACATGCCCGCAACCAAGTGGAGGTGGAGATGAAGAAAAGGCCTCAGGTGGAAAAGTAGGAGTACAAGCTACAGTTACTATATGACTATCTGGTCGCTGATCTGCATATCAGTCTTTTCAATGAGGACCGGCAGTCAGTCCTGGCAGCTTCAACCACAGCACTCTGCTGCCTGACAAGTGGCTATCTGCAGTGGAAGAATATAGCACCTGAAATATACTCGGAGTCAAGTGTGGATTTCATGCTCTTTATTCAGCTCATAGTAGTGAGGAATGAAAGTTCCCCCAAAATATCTGCTTTATATACATTATTTACACAATGGGTCGCACGTGATTGGCTAATTCTGGGATTCTCCTGTAAGCCAATCAGGTTGCAGATTCACTTCCAACTGGAGCTGGATTGGGTGGCTCCTGTGGACCAATCATACTGCTGCATTGTTCTAGGACCAATCAGACTGCTGCTTTTTGGATCCTATTCAACTCAGTACATAACAGCACCTCAATCAAATCAGGCATCAGCTTTGACTACTCAGATGAGGAAGTGTATTTGGAAGTGATAAAAATCCATCAAAGCAGATACAAAGGGTCTCCTCACTCATATTCCTGATTCAGCCAGTGGTAACAACCAAATCTGCATAGACATCTGTGGCACCTCCTCCTAGCTCCAATGAGATGTCTGTCGCAGTCCTGAGATCTGGAACCACTGCCCACATTTTGCCACCTATTGTATGGTTCATCACTGATCCCATCAGAGTCATTGCATCTCTACCCTCTGACACCTCACTAAAGGCTGGGGCACTAGTAATCTATCTCAATATTTTTGAATGGCATCTATGTAAATTGTTTCAGCAGTATAGTTTTATGGGGGGGGGTTGGAATTGATGTCAAATCTGATTAGGATCAATTTTTTTAAAATCTTTGTTTAATTGTAAGGAAAGTACTTGTTTCCATTCCCCCCCCCCCCAGTAAGTTTGCAAATATCTTAAAATTTTTGTTGCCAAATTCATAAACTTTTGGGCCCAATACTGAAGTGAGCCAGCTACTTTAGGGATTGCTAGCATTTTAAATTCAGCTCATTTACATAGTAATTTTCTGCACGACCTAGGACTTTGGGATTCCTGTAATCTTATATTTAGTCTAAATTCTTTTATGTCTGCAAGAAGTGAGGAATGAATTTTTATTTATTTCTCTAATCTAGATCTTTCACTTATAAAATGTCTTCTCACCATTGCCCTCAGAGTATCCCATACTAATGCTGGGAAGTGCTCTCCCATATCTTTAATATCTAAGAAATCTGTACTTTCTCCATGACTAATGTATTTGGTCAGTAAAACACTTAAGGCTCCAGCAGGGGGTAGGGGAAGGTGTTGAATGTAAGCTGATAATGGTGATGAG